CCTGGCTGCTCTTCCTGGCATGAGTCAGGAATGAGCAGTCCCAGCTCATGATGGTTGGGGACCACTGTGCCTCTGCATTTTAAGTGTAGTAAGAACAACAGCGATCCCAGAGTGAGCTTCCCCTTATCAACTCACTGTGTAGTTGATACAGACTGTATCGACTACATGATTAAGCAAATACCCATTCCTTAACATCCTTTGATCTAAGTTCTACGGTTAATGTTTCTCTGGGAACCTACAGGTATAGAAGATCCTGGAGCAGTGTTGGCTCCCAGACCCGCACCTGAAACTTTGCCACTGACAAGCAACCCAGGGAGTGCAGGATCCTGGCTGCCACCCCATGCCTCGGGATGTTGCCACCCAAAATGCTGGGCATGGAGCTGGCAACCCAGAGAGACCACAGCTGTGCCAGGATGATGAGCAGCAGCAGAGCTCCAGGTGTGGTGGCAGCAGTCTCTCTCACATGGTCAGCAGCTAGGACCCGAGGCAGCAGCAGGGTCCAACCACAGTTGGGGAGCCCAACAGCCCAGCGGGTCCCTGGAATGTCAAGTAGCTACAGAGTCCTGGCATGGGATGGCAGCAGCATCCCAGATCTGGCTCCAGCAGTGCCTCTGGCACCAGGCGCCAAGCAAGGAGAAACTCTACACCCGGAGTTGGCAGGTGGGACCTTAGACAGAGTTTAACCATTAACCAATAAGTCAATGCTCATCCATTCTTGTAAAGTGGTTAAGCTCTTACATTCATAACTTTTAATTTTCTTTCTGGGGTTAAGACAATGGATTAGTTGGTATCACAACAAGGTTTGGTCAAATTATAAAAGTGCACCCTGTTTTTAACGGTAGTATCCAGTTTACTGCCAAGGCAAATAATTCTAAGTTGTGTAGCAGTGGGACTACTGGGTAAGCAGTTACCCAGTCACACCCCTAAGGAGGAAAAAGTTTACCTCTTCTTTTTAACTTCTCTCTTCGGTTTCTTTTCATGGACTGGATTCTCCCGTATACCAGCATGGGCTTTTTTATATATCTCCTCCATCTGCAAGAAATACAATATACCCCCAATCAGATCAAGAATGTTCATTCAGCACATATAAGTTCAGTATTATCCCACTCCCAACAACATATCAGTGATTAAAGAAAGAATGTTAAGGTCAAATGTGATCTCTCAACATTTGCATCAGTCCTACAGAAAGGTCTAAAGCAGACTCGGAACAGAACACAACCTCCTAAAACACTACATCTCCCCCCCACCCTGGAAAAGTAACTTGTATGCAATTTAACAATGGGATGCTAGACACACAAGGCAGGGGGCAGCAACAGCCCACAGAGTAAGGCTAGGTCTACACTGTATACCTTAAATGACACAGCTATTCTGCTACATCCATGGTGTTGTAAGGTGCACTGTGTGACCGCTCAGTCACCATGGGGAGAACTTTTTCCAGGACAAAATAAAACCATCTCCAACAAGAGGCAGTAGCTGCATTGCCAGGATCACAGTTCCAGCTGATGAAGCACTATCCACACTGGCCCTTTTCATTGCTAACACTTGTCATTCAGGAAGACAGCTTTTTTTTCCCCCACATCACTGAATGACAAGTGCCAATGCAGATGAAGTCTAAGATGCAGTTCAAAGGCAGTAAGCCTGAAACTCCCGTAGGAATGTGCATACAAACATGCACTACAGATTATACACTAGAACCTTTATTCTTCCAAACTTATCAAATGGTAGGGATATTAAATGCCACCGGGAAGATCTACTAAAGACCCACTAAATTGAACATTGAGGGTACCCCACAACAATGCCAGTACTCCTCGATTCACAAGGAGTAAAGGAAGTCGGGGAGCATTTGCTTCCACTCCCACTGTGGAGACAACGCTGAAGGTCAAATTAAGGTACATCAACTCCAGATATGCAATTAACATAGCTGAACTTGCATATCTTAATTTGTCTTTCCAGGTAAGTATAGACAAGGAATATGTGAGTTGGTCAAGGTCACAAGAAGCCTACAGGGGAACAGAGACTTGGATCAGTCTCATGAATCCCAGGGCAAACGTCCTAATGAGTAGATGATCCTCTCTGAAGTCTACCCCATGTTATATGCACAGCTTTTTCAAAATGTTGTCCTTTCACAACCTAAATTAAGAACTAGCACCGGCAGTTGTTTAAAATTTAACTGGAACATTTAGCTTTCCCCAGGCAAGGGAGGAAGAATAGTCATGCCAATTTCACCAGGCTATATATGTCTGATGGAACATTTGGTTATGTTTTGGTTCAAATTAGTGATTATTAACTATGCCATGTGTAAATGAAATAAACTAAAAAAAAAAAATCCATGTCATTTTTCACAATAGTGGTAGTGTTTTGTACAGCTGTAGCTTAATCAAGACAGAAATTTTACAAGGGTGAGAGAATAGTAGAGTCTGAGTTGCTAATTCTTAAGCCACACACTGATGAATGTGTTTAGTGCTATATCAGCAGGACAGCATCTCCCACTGACATAGCTATCATCACTCATTGGGGTGGTTTAGTTATGCCATCAACATAGAGCAGCCACACAGGAAACTTTATAGTGGCATAGCTGCACTGTAAGATCTGTAGCACTGACATACCTTTGGCTATTTCAGTGAAACTTTTTACGTAGATCCCGCCCAAAAGGAGCTGGTAAGCATACAGCTCTTTAGCATATCTAGTTTATGGGCAATTTAAAAAAAAAGTTTACAGACTACACACTTCATGGCAATATAAACTGCATAGACAGCATCAGAGAATAAAAAAGTTATATTATAAATGTCAAAGTTTCAATGTAATTTTTAAATGGAATGTCCTAAATATTTAGTATACTAAATTTTAGTTGGAGTTATTTTAAGACCAGACGTTAGAACACATTAGCAAAATGATTTACAAGATACTAACATAACAATACTTAAACTAACAAGGGCAGTCTGTAGTGTTCTCACATTATAAAGCTATTTGATCAGCTTTTTTCAGGTGATACAAACAAAAGCTTCTCAGAGGCTCAGGCCACATCTAGACTATGGAGAAGATTTGATGCTGCAGTGGTTGACCTGGCGGTTGATTTAGCGGGTCTACTAAAGACCTGCTAAATCGAATGCTGAGGGTGCTCCCATCAACGCAGGAACTCCCACTCCTCATCAGGAGTAAGAGCAGTAGACAGCAGCTTTTCTTCCGTTGACCTATGCTGTGAGGATGGCGCTGAAGGTACATCAACTCCAGTTTTTTACGTAGCTGGAATTTCTTAACTTAAGCCAACCTTCAGCCGTAGAGTACCTGGCCTCAGAAGTGACAGTGAAATAAGGGAAAAAAAACATACGAGTAAGAGACAAGACCCACTGGCGAGGAAGTTAGTAAGAAGAAAGTTAGTGAGTTATTCTGGCAGACCACAGTGTCATGGGAAAAAGTAGATTGTTCCTTGCTCTGATATTTGTCAAGCAAGACATTTAACAAGCTGTTAAGATTTTTGATAGCTCCAACTTCAGCATCTTTTTGGTGCATGAAGCATACAGTATGACTAGAGAGGCCATATGTTTAGCCTTTATGAGCAGCTGTTCTGGGTTCAGGAAATGTGTCCAGCTTTTTAGAATCATAGCACTAGGCTTGCACAGGAGCCTGGCATTGGAGTATCCCTTTGATCTGATAACATGCTATCTAGATGGTCCACATTATATTGCAATGGAAAAGTATTTGCATCACCAGCATCAATTTTAAACAAGACAAATGATCTTTTAATGCCACTACTAAAATGCAATTAATTTACAGACAACGTCTTACCATGTCAGGTGTTACACTGTTCTTTATATACTGGGAGAACTGTTTTTTGTAAGCATCTTCATCCTCCTCCATCAGGTAACGCATGTAACCTGCAACATTCTGACCCATGATGTGCTTGCGATGAACCTCTGCGTTAAATTCTTTGCTTTCTGAGTCATAACCAGGGAAACGTTTGGTGCTATGAAACATGAGTTATAAGTTAGTGGTCAGAATACATCACTTAATCAAGGCTGATTTATGAAGCCACAGTTCTACAGGTTTCAAGTGACTGACACAAAACAGCCCCCATAGAGGTAGCTGGAAAGTGTGACCAAAGAAAAAACATTTAACATAGGTAACAGATGCTTTCTGTAAGATTAAATTAAGAAATGAATTTGCAAGATGATATCTTCAGCTGCCATCAGTCCCGTCTTGAAACAATGACATACATCTCACACAGACTGAGGACCAACTACAGACTGCTCAGTCATTGGGGTATCATCATATAGCAGCCAAGTTAAACAGCCCAAAAAAGAAAGCAGCCAATACTGAACTACCCCTCTTTCCATCAAGTTATCCTAGCTACTGTTTGCAGACTATTTTTCACAACTTTATTAATAAAAGCAAACACTAAAATTAGGAAATGCTGACAACCACCTCGAGTCATGATCATTCACTGATCCTAGCTTAATGCAGAGATTGCCAGGACTTACCCAGAAACCTGTGCCACCAATGTAGATGAATTTTAGAGTCTGGCCCAAGTTTCCACTAATAGTTGTATAAAGGGTTTAAGACCAATGATCAGGGCTTGACAAATAATACAATCTACTCGCCCGTATGGAGTAGATTGCAACCCGGAAGAGCCGGGTTCAGGCGATCTGCGCATGCGCAGAACGATCTGCACATATGCAGATCGCTGGACAGCGTGGCTGGCAAGTGGGGCTCACCACGGTTTGGCGAGCCCTGCCAATGATCATTTCGAACCTAGAGTACATAATTTCTCAAAATAGAAAAATCTCACAATAGGAGTTAAACCAGAGAATTAAAAGGAATTACATTTTACTAACTGTTTCTATGGCAATATGAATGGTAAGAAGTGTTTAGCCTGCTTAACAGCAGCCAATAGATAGTCAAAGTAAAAGGTGATTATATTGCTGTATTTTACTAAACTCTATGGAAATAAGCATTTATTTTTCTCCCATAACTTTGAGTCCTTGGGAGGAGTGTCAATAACATTTACTGAAAATAAGTGAATACTACTTGGAATTAAACCAGATTACCACTAACATGGTCACTCCACACTGAATTCAAGTAACCTAACAAGAAGTTAAAATATTACTACAATGCATATAAAGTGTGAACTCTCCATTTTTAAAGTCCCCTGTGACCAATTTATCTGAGATTAAGTTACCTATGAGGGATGGACAGGCCGCCATCCACTGCACCCTTTAGCGCACCGAAGACTTTGTTTCCAGTGGTAGTTCTGGCAAGACCTGCATCCAGGTAGCATGTAAAAGCACCAGGCTGTCCATCCACACTTTCCACATTGTATTCATCACCAGTCACTTCAACTTGGCCTTCATAAATCTTATCAAGGCCAAATTTGTTCAAAAGCTGTAACAGGAACGATGCAGTGTAAATATGTCTTCCTCCAGAGTTCTCTCCATATTTAGGTTCTTTGATATAAGAACCAAAAAAAGGTGTTTTCGTGTTGCAAGACAATCATCATAAAACTTGATTCTGTATGTGTGGCAGTATGAATGTATTCTACATAGGTGCACTCTCAGTAATAATGCACATTGTTACCTAAAAAAGTTTTTAACTGCAGGTACTAAATAAATCTGTGCATACTTTAGACCACCCATGCAATTAGACAGCTACACTGGCTAATCAAATCAATCTACACATTCAGGGTTTAAAAAAATATATATTTAGAACACATACCAAATAAGTCAGAGGTACATACGTGTTAATTTTCTACTCATTTATCAAAGCAAGCCTTTTGATATTTATATATAAGTTTAATGGGTACCTACCCTGCGGGCCAGCAGCAGACCTGTACAATAGGCTGCAGCATAATTGGTCAAACCAACTTTGACGCCATATTTTGGCAACTCATGAGAGTACGCAGCACAAACTATCATATCGCCTTCAATCCTGGCATATGCAATCTGACAACAAAATAAATGTTAGCATTTTCACACTGACAACAACATTGTGGAAATCCTACTAAAGTAAATGGGAGTACTGCCAAGATTGCGGGAATACAAAAGTATACAACTAAATTCTTCCTATCTTTCCTCATTTAAAACGTATTTCTGATGACAAAAGGCTTAAAAGCAGATCTCAAAATTGTAAAGGCACAGAAATCAGTCCTCATCAAAACAGTGGAACGCCTTTTTTTCCCCACTTTAGGTAAGTGAGTGTAAATGGAGTCTTAACCAAGTTATTTAGCTCTCCCTTCACAAGGAGGTTTGAGACTGCAATATAACAAGTCATTTTAAGAGGACATCTATTGTAGACAGTAAATGGAACTGGGATTCACTGACACAGACAACTCCCAAACATCCTAAGTTTTCTTTTTGATGAAATGCACAGCATAATTCACCCTGTAATTATGCAAAAAGCCTCCCTGATGTAATAAGTTGCAGTATAGTTCTGTGATAATTAGGGATGTGAAAGTGTAAACCTATACATGGTTAACCAGTGGGCCTGTGCTTATCAATTAACCTTCACAGTTACACACAATCTTCCCCCTCTCAGTGCCTCTTCATCAGCTTCCAGGGAGCACCCCTCCACACGTGTAAACACTGACATTTTCAGCAATTACACATTTACTTAAACACATTTTTACATCCCTAGTGATAATGTAATCTCAATACTGTTTTTGCTATGGCATCAGAGCTAAACTGACAAATAGAAACAAAGTCACTTGTAATGGTAGGGTTCAGGGGGAATTAAAATGCAATGGCTAAGATTACAACCTTTCCTAGTTTCAACTTTTGTGTATTTGACAGCAGTGACATTTAATCAATTTCACTCTTCCTCTGAATTCAGATATTTCCTGTATTTCTATGGTACTTTCAGCTAACAAGATGAAAGAAAATGTTTTTAAAAGTGGCAGAGGACTGAGGGTCATGTGCAACATTTGTAGGTATTCTGCACTTTTACAGTAGTTTTCTGTTGTCTTGTTTTCTTCAAACTGACTGTAGTATAGTCTTTAAATGACTAACAGATATTGCTATACCAGTTAACCAGGCCTTAGAAAACAGAGTTGCTTTTATCCTCCACCTTACTGTAAAGCAGGAGTTTCAAACTCTCGACCCACGGCACAATCCAGTCCAAGAGTTCTGGCAGGCCAGGCCCCAAGCTCTTCCTCTCCCGCAAGTCCTTCCCCCTCTATGGGACCCCATCCGCAGAGGAATGCAGCCTCGGGGTTTACTGGGAGACCTGGTGCACTGCAGCCATCGGGGGGGGGCGGGTCGCCACACACACCCGGGCTTCCCAGAGACCCCAAAGGCCGCATCCCCCTCTCCAGTGATGGGAGTGCCCAGGGGAGGACAAGCAGAGGTCAGGGCAATTGTGGGAAGGGGTGGGATTTTGGGGGGGGGACGGGGACACAAAAACAGACAGGCTTCCTCCACACCCTGCCAGGAATCCCAGGCTGCACAACTGCCTGACTAGGGGTGACCCATCAGGCAAGGAATTTGAGACCCCTGGCGCAAAGATTGAAAAGACAGTACATTTTGGAAAGTGTTATTTCTCTATGTATTAAAGAAAGTTTTTACTGCAGGGAGACAGGATGACATCATCATGTCACCCTGCCCCTCAGCCTCAACAGAGGCCCCAGAAGGAGAAGAGGCAGTCATGGCTCAGGGTTCTCCTCCTGCCCTCAGGGGGCATCTTGGGCTTCCCACTGGCTCCTGGCTTCCCCGAAGGAGGGCCAGGGGGCGGCAGCAGCGGCTCCTTGCTGCATTTGGGGGCCCCAACACACAGGGACCCAGTGGGGAACCGCCACCTCCGGCTGCTTGGGCCAGGTGTGCTGGAGCTGCCGCATGCCTGGAACACCCTCCTGCCCCCACAAGATTATCTGGCTTCCTGCTGGTGAGCGGGGAAAGAAGAAAACCCTGACACTCTGCGCCAGAGGCCGATTGCAGAGAGGCATGTGGTGCTGTGGAGAGGGCCAGGGTCTGCGCCACACCCAGCTGCTGGGGAGGGGAAGGCTCCGGACCACACCAGACCCGGCCTCTCACCCCCACATCATGGCCAAAGCCCTGGCCTCTTGTACCTCCCTCTCTGGCAGGCAAGCCAGGCTTGCTTACCCTCAAAGGGGTTTGGCGAGCTTAGCGATCAGGGGGCACCACCCCCTAGTAGACAAGCAAGCAAAGAATCCTTACCTGGCAGATAATATCTCTGTTGGTAACACGTACTATCATCCTGTATTTAGGGGTGTTGTATTTGTTTTTATCTTGAATCACCAAACGCTTACGGGCATAATAATCAGTCTTTCCCTCTGAGAAGACAATAGTGTTTGTATGGACATGAGAAACAAACAACATGGCCTCGTATCAATATAGTTTACTTTGAGCTATGGAAAAACCGTACCTCTCCTTCTCCTGAATTTCACTTGGTACCTCTTGAAGTAGGCCTTATTCTTGACAACTTTTACAAACCCCTTGAACAAAGAGAACATAATTACAACCAGACACAATTAGGACAGTACCAAGAAGTCTTCTTATGGCTATCATGAATTATAAGTGTTGCGATTGGGAGTGTAAAAAGGTGGGATGTACAGTGTTTTCTGAGACTAACTGTAAGTTATCCCAAGGGAAGAAAGGAAAGGAAACTGCACTCTCTATCTTAAGGTACATCTTGTGTTTCATGTAGATTCACGTGAGATAGAGAAATACAGCAGAGAGGCTATTCAAATATATAAATATCCACTACCCAGATGCTTCTTAAAACTACGTTACTTGAGTAAACAAATATCACTTATTACCATGTAGTGATACTTATTTTCACAATCAAACCTGCTCTTAAGCCAACTAATAATGCCAAAAGGACATTTAGCAGCTTTAACATCAACGTGGTAAGAAAAGTCTTCATTACTTATTGCTGACCACATTAAGTTGGTACATTTGCATCAAAGCCCAACTTTGATTCGGGGGAAAGGAAAACAATAATGGCATGACCCTGCGCTGCCGAATTTAAAGCCAGTTGCTGGAGATGGGGGAGCATTTCCACAGCCACCCAGAGAGACGGGAAAGGCAAGTGCTTTGTTTTGCCCCTGGTATAACCCAGAACACCAGCCCTACCCCCTCCCGTCTCACTCGCACTTAAGAGGCAGCGCCGAGCCCGGCTCTGTTCCTACGCTGGGCGCCAGGCCGAGGCCTTGCACGCGCGGCTCAAGGGCTGCCACGCGGAGCCGCGAGAGCCCGGCGCTCTGCCGCGCCGCACCGGGGAGGAGACATGGCGGAGACACCCGGCCCGCCGCTC